GTGGTAATCTTGCTTTAAGGTATTTTTTTCAGTGGATGAAAAAGTACAAAACCGCAATCCCTGGCCATAAACTTATCTCTCTTGACACTAGGATGATTGGGAGGCATTAGTTATAATTTCGTGATACATGTCTTGCTAATAGTGATCAGGAATTAGTACCTGCCAGATTCTTTTTGTGGACATGCACCAGTTATTGTGGTCTAACATACACAGGTTCTTTTGTTTATTGCAGGAATGAATACTGGCATTCAGGATGCTCATAATCTTGCCTGGAAAATAGCTGCTCTTGTAAAGGGTATTGCACCATCTTCGATACTTCATACTTATGAAACAGAACGTAGGCCGGTATTGCTTTTGTCTTTGTACTTCTGTCCCATTATATGTTTATTCTGAAGTTTGGAAGGATCCTTGACCTTCATTTTTCTTCTCTCTCAGATTGCAATTTTTAACACAGCACTTAGCGTCCAAAACTTCAGAGCAGCCATGGCAGTTCCTGCTACACTTGGTCTTGACCCAACCGTTGCAAATTCAGGTAACTAGAATAGCTATCTCCTTTTTTCATGTTTGGCATATTAGCAGTGGTATTTGGTACTTTTGATCAATGCAATGAAATTTTTTTTGATCTCCATTCATTTTTACATGATTGACTTGATTTCTTTTCCTCCTTTTTTACAACTCTCTTCAGAAAAAGAAAAAATCATGCTCATTGATGACATTATTTTTTTGTACCTTTTTCTGGTTTTGCAGTGCACCAAACCATTACTGATGGAGTTGGTTCCATTTTGCCATCTGGATTACAGAGGGCAATTTTGGATGGAATTTTCACAATAGGTCGTGCACAGCTTTCAGATTTTCTTCTAAATGAGAAAAACCTACTGGGGTCTTCAAGGCTTGCTAAACTAAGGCGTTTATTTGAAGAGGGGAAGAGCCTTCAGCTGCAGTTTCCTGCCGAGGATCTTGGCTTCAGGTATCCCCCATCAGTCATCATATCACTATTGAAATTTTAAACTAGTTGAAATTTCTAAGCAGATGTGCATTGCAGGGTACTTCTATGTCTACTTTATTGTCTTTGAAAGTATTCGAGAATTTCTAAAGTTGACCATATCAAACAAATTACAAGCTTCCCCATTATTTTCCAAGTTTTTAACTTTAATATCCTGCCAATTTAATTGACAATTAATGGATGTTTGTTCTTTGACGTCATTATTCCATATGGTGAACTTGAAAGATTGATGGTTGGATCATCTTGCTTGTCCCTTGGCCTGTATAAATGATCATTGATATAGGCAAAAGACTGACAAACAATTCTCATTTTTCAAAAACTCAGATTTCTTTCATTTTTTATGCTGTTTCTTTTTAGGATAAAATGTATTTATCCAGCCAATTCAACGAAGTTCTGTTTTTTACCTGTCTGGGTTCAGGTACCTTGAAGGAGCACTCATTCCTGACAGTGACAGTGTGGGTGCTCAAGAACCACCAACTGGTCATCGGAAGGACTATATCCCTTCTTCAGTTCCAGGTTCAAGGCTGCCTCATATGAATGTGCGCATGTTGTCCAATTCTTGTAGCGAGGTATCTGCTTCTTTTTGTAATCAGATACAATTACAATGACACTAGAAATGCAATTTTACTTTGGCATTCCGACTTCCTACATTCTGTCTTTTTGTGTCTCTGTATAATAATAGTTGCAAATTTAGGAGCTCTGGAACTGTATCCCGTAACCTGAAATAAATTTTTTTGCATTTTTAAGTGTCAGCTTGTATTTGCACAAGTATGTTTGCATCTGCCTTTTTATATGGAAACACATACCGTTTCACAAGTGGGTGTCTTAGCATGTCTGTGTGTTTTTGTAGGCATGCATTTCTACACTTGATCTTTTGCCTGGGGACAACGTTGAGTTTCTACTCTTCATAGCACCACTTGAAAAGTCCTACCACCTTGCTGTTGCTGCCCTGAAGGTGGCTGAGGAATTCAAAGTTTCTGTTAAGGTTTGTATACTGTGGCCTGCTGAAACCATTAAAGGAGCCGAAGCGAGGAGTAAGATAGCACTGGCACCATGGGAGAACTATATAGATGTTGCAGAAGCTAAGAAATCGTCAAATTCATCTTCATGGTGGAGCATGTGTCAAATGACTGAGAAGGGAGCAATTTTAGTTAGGCCTGATGAACATATTGCTTGGCGTGCAAAGTCAGGTCTTGATGATGATCCAATTTTAGAAATGAAAAGAGTTTTTTCTGCAATATTGAAGGTATAACAACTCAATATATAAGAAACGTGCTAAGAAGACATAGGATTTCTGTGCATGTGGGGCGAAGTCCTCCACTTGAAAGCACAATTACACAGGTGCTGTGTATATTTCCCATTGGAATGCTAAGTGGTGACATCCATTTCTTTATGGAAAGATCCTTTCGAGCAATTGAAGAGACATTGGTTGTATGTAGAATTTGTTATGCCTCGCAAAAAGCTCTCATTAATGCCGCCTCTAGATTTTTGCCTCCTCTGCTAGTATTTGTAGGGATTCATATGTAATAAAACACTATTCTAAACACGAATATTTGCCATTTTTTGAAGACAGTTTGTATATTTATTTCGGTCCCTTTTCAGATTGAAAGACGAGTCCCAGGACAGATAAAAGGATCAGGGACAACTCAGAAGTTCAGAGAACTGCTTCTCATGCTCATGCTCCTGAATTATCGAGGGTAAAAATCTGCAGTGCGTTCTGCACGACAAATTGATATTCTTCTGACACCATGAATGACCAGTTTTTTTTTTCTTCCTCGTAATCAAAACTTATTCCATAAAACTCAGATTTTGGGCAACCTTTTGCAGATATTAGATATTATCCATCAGTCATTTTAACTAATTTGAATGGAGTAGAATGGTTCGGATCATCAGAAGCTAACCTGTTATCCAAGATATTAGCTTGGCTCTGAAGCACATTAGATGCATACGAGCCGTAACACTAGCGATTATATCTGTGGCACCATATTTGAAGCATGGCTAACCATCACCAAATAATTTACTATCATAGTTGTTGTTTCTGACACAACCACATCGATACATACAAGTCTAATTCCTGTAAAATTGCACTTGCAATTTGCAAGAATTATAGACTGGTAAAATAATGGCCGTGTATACAACAGGCGATAATTACATCAGATACTGCAATGCTGCCACTAGAATGAATACAAGGTAAGTTCAGTGGAAGAGCATTTTGCTGCATTTGAGAAAACACAATCTCAAGTTCTCGACATTTGAACTTTTAAGCACCGCCTACAATTACAGGTCTCGGAGTTTCTGTCCTATCGAGCGATCTGAACTTGAGTATCAGCTATGATATGTGGCATCTCTGATCTCGTCAGGCATCAACTTGGACGTTAGTCATCAATGTGATCAAATGGACAATAATTGCCGTGACAAGACCAAGCAAACCACCAGCAACAACCTCTCACAGAAAAGGACTATCAGTTCATCAACAGCTTCCTGAGCTCTATGTTTCTTGGAAATAAACCTGCAACTCACTACTATTCACAGATAGGTAAGAGACAGTCCCCGAAGCTGGGAAGAAATTCTGGCAGGCGGGTTTGCTTCCCGAAGTCAGAAATCACAGGGAAAAGAGGCATTTCCATTCTTTACAATGTCACCATTCGAACTCTCGAAAGCTAAAATAATTTTATTTCTATGCATGCCAAAAAACATTCAGGATTGGTGACAGTTGTTATTTTAAGGTGTGACTTGATGCATGTTTGGGATTTGGAATCAATACTACGAATACAACCAACGCTTATGACATGAAAATAATTTGAAGATAACAGCATCTCCTCCTCTACACACTGCCAAAAAGTGAATGATAGAAACAGCATCAATTAACCCTATACACACCACAGGCAATCTACAAGGAACTTGTCTCATGCAATAATCCAAACCTGAGGAGGGGTGAGCCCAAGAATTTCGCGCAGCGGTCTGCTCTCAGCCAGAGGATTTTCAGCAGGGATTTTTGATTCAAGACCTGAAGAAATCCAGTTTAAATACATGAAACATAGAAACAGAGAGCCAGCGTTTCAAATGTGAAAAATGCGTAGTGTAGCATCAAACCTCTTCTTGGCATACAGCCTGTGATCGTACATCACCTGCCACCAAAATCCTCCACATGAAAAATTAGTTGTCTTGCATCAGTGCAAGTACAGTAGGTAATACGTGATCCACAAGTATTGGGTCTTTGTATTTTCAAAATACCACCACTTCACAAAACCTTGATAGTTTACGTTTTGTATTGATTTTCTTCATGTTTAAAGCAAACAGTTCTCTTTACACGGTAAGAAAATGGATGTTCTATTCCGGGCAATCACTGCAAACAAGCAACGGAAATATGATTTGACTTCATTTCCAAAACCTTCAGTTCTGTAAATGATTTGATATGTCATTAGTTGTCGCCCCAACGATTTTAAAACACGAAAATTGTTTTACCACACTTCAAAATAATAATATTTAATAAATATCAGAAGTTGCATTAAAAATTTTTCAGACAGTATTTTTCCATTTTTTTTTTACATTTACTGTTCTGGTTGTGGAATTTATCCCCACTCCTTTATTGCTGGATAGATAATTTGAAAATAGTAAAAAAAAATATTAATTTTAAATAAAAAAATAAAAAAAATTAATTTTTTTAAAAATATTTTCAAGATCAAATGAGTCCAGTATTCATGGTCCTTCTAATTTACCCACAGATGGATTTACCAATCTCAGTGCTTCCAGTGGATATGATTCAAGTATGGTATTTCATTAAAAGGTTTGTGTTTGCTGCCTAAAAGATTACTGCACTCAGGGCTAGCCAAGGCGGGTTGACTGCGCCTCAGCATTTATTTGGAAACGTGCGAGGAGTGCATCAAGATCAAACCTTGCGGTTTTCTAGAAAGTCTATGCCGTCTCTCACCGTGAACGTGTTGGAGGTTTGTGCGTCCCTTACAAGAAAACAAACTATGGAGGTAACGATGACAAGTAGAAAAATTAGGGTTTCATTCACACTTTTTCTACCGAAGCACTTGAATCAGACGGGATAAGTAACAAGAATATGGCACCTGGGGCAGGGCAAACACAAATCTCCGCTGCCTCACTGATATCAACCTAACGACAACCTTTACAATTATGTCACCACCGCAACGTGGTGCTTCTTACAAATAAATTGGAATCAACATGAATGAATTGGCAGCGGTCCATGCAGCCCTTCGAACACAAAAACTATTCGTATACAAGCACTTGTCATCTCTCCATGCAGCTGGAGAAGGTAGCAGAGTCACACAGCGTGAATGAAAGATTCACATTATTGTGCAATTGCACTTGGATTCTAGCTTCGGAGGCTTCATACTGTCCATCTCGTTGGGAAGCCCAACATTACGCACCATGGATTCATTGGAATTCTCATCGTTCTCAGTCTTGTTGGCAGAGTGTTTGACATCTGTTTCTGCCCGCCTCTGCCTGACTTTTTGGGATTTTGAAGTTCGTTCTCCAGCAGGTCTTCCACGTGGATCCTTTCTGTCAGCAGTGGACTTTCCGAGAATTGTAACTGTTGGCCGAGAACCTTCCAATGGTTCTGAACTTTCCTTTTCGATGGCAATAGTTGCAGCATGGTAGGCCAGATCATGAACAATGGAGCTACAGAAAAGTGTTGCATCGGTTACTTCGTCAAGGGATAGGCTTCTTGCCTTGCTCCTTCCTCGACAGTCGACCATTATGGTTGACTCCTCTGACAAAAGTTCAAAAACTCGTTAGAGAATCAAACCATAACATTCTAGTCCCATCTCAAAGCTGACGTTTGATTAAAATACGTAGAAAGCATGTGGAAACTGGAAAATCATTTTGTAAACATAGGAATGGCAACTAACATTGCATTAATGTTTAACTTTACCAACTGCAGAACATGACTTACATTCTCACCAGAAAACAAAACCACTTAACATAAAATATTTAGATCAGACTGTTAAGGCAAATAGAAAAGGTCTCAACTCCATCAATTGGAAGAATGTTCCAGTCAACTGTGTTCAAACCTACAAACAGATACGTGATCAACATGAATCACAACACAGGATTAAACATACCTAATATGCCATCTGCATGATCTGGCATGTTGTGTTCCAAAACAGAAGCAGCTGTTTCCTTATCTGAAGATGCTGGGACTTGGTGATCCTGAACTTCATTCATGGTGCTCCTTGATTTTGTCGATATATCATCATTCTCTGACCCAGTACCATAACAATTGTTCTCAGCTTCTATTTCTGATATTGAAGCCAGACGACTATGAGTAGTAACCTCAGTAACATCCAATCTGTCAAGATTAGTATTCAGCATGCTATGTTTGGCTTCAACAGAAGGCTCTAGAGGAATAGCTGATGCTTCTAAATCTGAGACATCCCCTGCATTGTTTGGCAAATCTTCACCGTTTTCATATGATACTACTGAATTCTCCTCCAGGTGAATGCCAACTGTATGATGTGGCAAATCTGAGGAAGATATATCAGTTTTCCTATTACTGTCATTTTGCTCAAACAAATCTTCTTCAGGAACCTTTGCACCAGTAAAAAATATACGGGAAACATCCAGTTCTTTATTTTCTGAAGCCAGCAATATCCTTTGAGAAGCTACAGGTGTTTCCTCCAACCTATCATATTTCATATTGCCAGCAGTAACCTCAACATTTTCTTCATGTCTGTTTGTTGCAAGACCTAGAGTTTGGTGACCATCACTTAAAGTTCCAGAAAAAGATGACGAAGAGCTTTGAGGTCTTGAGTTTAGGTCATATCGGTAGTTCTCCAGGTCAGATTTCCTGCCACTTAACTGTCGTTGAACACGTGTTTCCGCGTGTCTGCCAGAGCTGAAATCAATTGAGGATGATGCAGATGTACTGCCATACCCAATGGAGCTTCTCAAACTGTTTGCACTGTCTCTTGCATACGAAAAATCATCATAAGTAATGGTAGAAGCAACTAAAGTCCTGCCTTGAACAACAGGCCCCTTGCTGCTGCTAGACCTCTTGAGTAATACAGAAATGCCAGCACCTTCTGAAACACTAGCCTTCAAACTCAGATAGTTATTTGAGTGCGGCAATTGATGATCTCCAGCATCTCCACCAGGAAGGCTATAAGCAGCAGGTGGTTGTCCTGTTTCATGATGGCCTATGATACTATGTTCACTTCCCTCCATCAAAGACCTAGTAAGAGAACTTTCTCGGGAATAAAATCGCTTTTGCTCGTGGTGTGAAGTCTTGCTTTGCTTAACTCTGTCTTCATGCCTGGAAACCCTTGCATCAACCATATCAACAAATTGTGATTCCAAATCATTAACTTGTGGCTGTAATTCAGGCACATCCACCTGGGTAACTGGCTCATCAGATTGCTTGTATTCTTTAGATATCTTGATAGATGGCACTGGGAGGCTCTCATCGGCTACTATTAGTGTGTCTGGAATGGCAGCACCCACAAGGTTGTCTTGCCTACAGCAATCAGGACATAGATTCACATCCTTTTCCAGGGTTTCAATAACATGATACCTGCAACCACATTTCGAACAAACTTTTGTGTTTTCTAGACTATCAACTTCTGAAAAATCAGCCTTGACACATGTAGTGTCAGAAGCGGAACTGATTTCAATGTCATGGTGTCTGAGCTCCTCACAGTCACCAGGCTCATGTTCAATTGTGGTGTCTCTGTGAAAGTCACGCAGCCGAGAATGAAGACTATCATCTGCATCATGCCTGACATCCTTACTTAATGCATCTGCCTTATCAAAGGCAAAAACCTCTTCCAGAGCATCAGAGTATGGAACCTTGCCACTTTCAGTTGCCATATCTTCCTGGTGGCAGCAACTTCCCTTGGTATCTGCTGCAGCACTGGCACCTTGATCAGAACTCACATTACTGCTGGTTGTAACAGAGGAGTTCCTCAACATCAAAGAACGATGTGCAGAACTTGCTTTTCCACCATATAAGGTAGTGCTGGGGACACTAGATAAAAGTGGTCTGAACATGTTCTGAGGACTTTTCCGATGATCCTACACAAAAACATTGATGAAATAAAGATCCATGCACCAGACTTCTAAAGAAACTATGAATGCACAAGAGAGGACAGTGAAAGTTAGCACGCCTGGATATTTTCACAGGAGCTATAAACTACTCAAGGTTTCTAGGAAAATTCCATAAATAAACTGGCTGAATACACCACTTTAAAACATATAATCCGATTCATAAAATACAGTAACTAGTGATTTAACTGTTATATGAATTCATCAATCTATCATCATTGTTAAACTTTTTCTCACTCATCATACCAGATACTTTATACCTGCATTATCGAAGTAATGATGTAACAGCACGATCACACCAAAAATGTTTTAACTAATTACATGATTTTAATTAATAAACAAGTTGGTGGGACCATTTCAAACCAGAAAATGCATAATTACAATTGACTCCAAATCTGCAATTTGCAGCATTTATGCTCAGAGTATACAACCAATAAATGCATGCCTTTTTATTGAGAAGCATTTATTTCAGTGCTGCGCAGAAGCTGACCACCAAATACAGAGAACATTCTTCAACATCACTTCAAAATACATCATCATTTCACCTTTTGTTTTGTTTTGTTTGGGTGGGTGGGTGGGTTGGGGGGGGGGGGGGGGGGGGTGTGG